GATCACATAGAGCCCATACGTCGATTGACGCGACAAGATACAGAGTTCACCTGGATAGAGGAACAAGACAACGAACTTCGAGAGATCAAGAGACTTGTGTCCACCGCCCTAGTACTCGGTTACTATGATCCAAAGATCGAATTAGGGATCCAATGCGACGCGAGCAAGAAAGGATTAGGAGCAGCACTTTTACGGAATGGTAAACCCATCGCGTATGCAAGCAGGACACTAACCGACACCGAGCAGAGATATGCCCAAATCTAGAAGGAAATGCTCGCGATTGTATTTTCCCTCGAGAAATTTAACCAATACACGTACGGGCGTCACGTGAAAATCCAAAGCGATCACAAACCACCGGAGTCCATCTTAAAGAAGTCCCTCGCCTGCGCACAAAGACGCCTACAAGGGATGACGATGAGACTTCAGAAATATGACTATGAGGTACGCTACTAACGCGGAAAGAAAATGCTCCTAGCTGACACCCTTTCTAGAGCCTACCTGCCAAGCACCGCACACCCAACAGCGATCGAATTTGAAAACATCAACGCCGCCACATTTCTCCCAATATCCACAACACGACTTAGGGAAATACAGCAAGCTACCGATGCCGACGAAATATTGAGACCCCTGAAGAACACGATTCTACGAGGGTAGCCAGGAGAACGAAACCAAGTACCCACACAGGTCGCACCCTATTTTCACGTGAGAGACGAGTTATCCATTCAAGACGGAGTTATCTACCGCGGTCAGCGAATTGTCATTCCAACCAGTTTGCGGAATGACATCAAGCACAAGCTACATGCTTCACACCAAGGCATCGAATCTTGCCTGCGAAGAGCACGTGAAACAGTATTTTGGCCTGGAATGTCCGCCGAAGTGAAAGAGCTTATTGCGACTTGTGAAACTTGTCGGAAATTCGAAACCAGCAACCCAAAAGAGCCACTGATGCCTCATGACGTACCAAGCAGACCATGGAAGCAAGTCGGAGTTGACTTATTCGAACTGAACAAGAAAGACTTGATGGTGACCGTTGATTACTACAGCAATTTCTGTGAAGTTGATCGTCTCACTAGTATTACTTCCGCAGCCGTTGTCCTGAAACTAAAAAGCCATTTCGCCAGGCATGGATGCCCAGACCGAATGATCAGCGACAATGGTCCGCAGTTCGTTTCGTCAGAATTAAAAAAATTCTCCAAAGAATGGGATTTCGAGCAGAGAACAAGCAGTCCAGGAAACTGCAAAGGCAATGGAAATTTAAAGTCGAGTCTGCCGTCAAAACCGCAAAAAACCTGATCCGCAAAGCCTTCGACCCAGGAACTGACCCATATCTCGCTATCCTTGACTACCGAAACACACCAACACAGGGGATGGAATCAAGCCCTGTACAGCGACTGATGAATAGGCGAGCGCGAATTCTACTGCCAACAACCAAAGCCCTCTTGGAGTCGCGAACAACCCGCCCAGACCAAGATATCAAAGATTTGAACAAGCGACAACAGCGATAGTCTAAGTATTACAACCCCCACACTCGTGCTCTAATCCCACTTGATAAAGGCGATGTTGTACGAATGAAACCCTACCAGTTAGGATCCAAGGTGTGGAAAAAAGCGACAGTTGCATCGCGACTTGACGAACGACCTTATGTAGTTGAAACGGCAAATGGAAAGACATACAGAAGAAACAGATTCCAGCTAAAGAAAAGCAAGGAGAACGCAGATACTCCTGAACCAGAAGTTACACCATGAAGCCTTGAACCTTCACCATCAAACACTACTACCTCGACGAACGGCGCAGCACCTATTCCTGAAATCCCCACTCCTTCAGCGCCACCAGCACGACCACAACGAGCACGACGACCTCCTGTATACCTGAAGGATTATATCCAAAAATAGACTCGATCCTTAAGGATTACAAACATAATTAGATTTCAAGATTTCACTATTTAAACATTAAGAGGTAATAGATGATTATTGATTCAACGGATGATTTAACTATGATTATTATTTATTGAAAGTAATTCAAGAGTCTTGAATGGTTAAGAGCTGTTGATGAAATCGTCATATCCGTTCGGTACTTGCCCAAATTTGAAGTTATGACATCACCATTGAATATTGAAAACACATATACGACATTATGACGTAATTTGGTCGTATATTGAAAACACATATACGACATTATGACATCACACTAATTTATGCTGCTTATATGCCAAAAGGCTTTCTCAAAGGAAAGGTATCCCGACCTTGGGCAAGCTGAAATCAATTAAAGAATTGCTGGAAGAAAAAGACTCAGTAAACACAAAAAAAGCTACAAAAGCAAGCAAAGCGATTTTTGAAGAGTATCTATGAGAAAAGAAGCTTGACCATCCAGAGAAGAGCGAAAAAATTGCTTCGGTTCTCAAAAGCTTTTATGCTGAAGTGAGAAAAAAGATGGGTAAGAATACACAAAAAATTCGCTGTGTTCAATAAGGTTTGGACTGAACAGATACTTTAAGTCTGTTTTCAACAACGATATTATCAAGGATAAAGAGTTTGAAGAAGCAAATAGCGTGAACGAGGCTCAATGCGTATATTTAAAGAAACGAGGACTTGCCAAAACTGAACACAAACCGCCAATAGCCGACAAAAACATCAAAAAACTATACGAAAGCGGCGTTTTCAATACAGACACTCCCACTACTGAGCAAAACAAAGTCTTCTTTGAAATTATGTTCTTCTTCTGTCGTCGAGGAAGGCAGAATCTTCGTGAACTAAAGAGAGACGACTTCGCTACAACGAACCCACAAGGACAGCGATGTGTTGTCAAAAAAAACGGATGAACTGACGAAAAACCATCGTGTACACGACGCTCAAGCCGAGGAAGGGGGAATGGTGGTTGCCAACGATAGTCCCTACTGCCCTGTGTATTCGTTCGAGATCTAGAAATATTTGACCCATCTTAATCCACACAACGAGTTTCTTTTCCAAAGACCGGAGCGTTGTAGTCCTTCTGACGGGATAATTTGGTATGACAATATGGTCGTCGGCGAAACACGCTTGGCAAGAAGATGAAAGTACTATCAAAAGAAGCAAAGCTTTCCGTTGAATATACCAACTACTCGATTCGAGCAACCACAATTACAATCCTCGACAGAAATGGCTACGAAGCAAGACACATCATGTCCGTGAGTGGTCACAGGAGAGAGAGTAGATTAAAGAGCTACACTAAAACCGGCGATTTAACAAAGAGAAAAGTGGCCGGTTGTTTGTCTTCTGCAATTGATTCCAGCGAACATCACGTAGCTGAAATTCGTAACACTATAAACCCTAACATGTCTGCCCTGGCTACGGTAAGCAAAGATACTGAAATTGAGTCCCTTTTAACAAACTCACAAGAAGAATTAATCATGCGGGATTTCAGCTTCCAAACGACTACACAAACGTCAAAACAGTATAATTTTTACAACTGTCAAATTCACTTTCACGAGCAAAAATGTTTATAAATGTTAAAGTTAATATTTAAATTCGTGTTAGAACAGTTGAAGAACACTAGTCTTGTTTTCTCGATCAT